GCGGAGAGCCGTTAACCAATACGCAAATTAGCCTGCTCTACCCATATGCGCAGCAAAAAGACAATTTTTGACCAAATATTACAGATTTGAACAAATACACACAAAAACATCAAAATTAGCACAGAAACAGTACTATATAACATTTTAGACACATTCTAGACAGTTTATCAGCTAAAAAAAAAGTTAATTTTGGGGTAAGTTACTCTTTAAAGCCAACATTGATGATAAACTACATCTCCCATGAGTCAATTATTTTTTATCTGCAAATTGACAACATCCCACCACTGGGTGGAGGTGCACTGAGTTCAAAAGTAGCCAGAAGCTGGCAAATTTTGATGTGTAAAATCTCCATTTTGCTGCATTTTAGAGGCTGTGTCCAAATTCAGAGGCTGGGTCCTCCGGCCTCTACTTATACTACAACTCAGTCGTACTGGACATACATTTAAACTGGAACACCTTTCCAATTGGAAATCCCTGTCGGAAAGTGGGAGAGTTTAGAATTCAAGACGGCAGCTACTCACCACAACTCAACAATGAATAAAACTATTACTTTTACTTTTAATAGTATTTCTGAAATATTAATTTCACATTTAGTCAGTCGTACATGTAGTACTTTTCAGTATTTATAAGAGAACGTGTTTAAACCCTGTTTCTACACAGGACAAACCATGTAGAGCTCAGTTGTTGTTTTTAGTTGAAGCTATACCATAACACTCGTGACCCTCAGTGAAAATGTGTTTGACACCCCTGAGTCAAAATTGAATCAAGAGTTACACAACAATGTTCCTGGCATTTGAGTAATTCTGTTTTAAGTTGTTTAAAATAAGTTAAAGGTTACAGAAAAACATTTCTTCATTCACCAAGAAATAGTAAACCTACAATAAACCTCCATACCAAAGTGCAATCTCACTCTACTGACCTGTGAAAGGTGTTAACCACTCTTCTCTCCCACAGTTTGTTCAGAGTTTTAACCTTTGTACAAACGGACTACAGATGAAAACTAGCCTCCATGGCTAATTCTGGCATTTTCTGTAATATGCACTTTCCCTTCTTAAATAAAAAAACAACAAACAAACAAGCATGATGGCCACATCAGTCGGAGGACATCAAATCTGCAGCAACTGTGTGATGCTATCATGTCAACATGGACCAGACTCTCTGAGGAATGTTTCCAGTACCTTGTTGAATCAATGCCACAAAGGATTAATGTATTTCTGAAGGTAAAATGGGCTCCAACCCGGTACTAGCAAGGTGTACCGGTGAGTTGCCGGTGAGTGTATATATATATATA